CCACACTTTTGAAAGCTTTTTACAGCAGTTCCTACAACTGCAGATTTTAAATAAGCACGCCCAAAAAGTGCTGCTACCTCTTTATCGGTAATGGTTTTACCGGGGTTATTTATTAAAAAGTAGTCACAAGCCTGGCTATAATATGTTTTCAGTGGACCGAAAAACCCCACATCTAACGGCTGCAACCGATGTGTGGTGTGGGGAGGCAATCCGACCATCACGATACCATGATTTCTACACAAGTTAACTGCTGCGAGTGAGCAATGGGAAGAATGATTGTCCACTATTACCAATATGGGGGATTCTTTTGATGGGCGCGTGAATTTAATGAAGTGTTTGAGATATACAACAAATGTTTCCGTATTCATCCAGCCGCTTGGCTGTGCTACACCGTCACTGTTTGATGGAGCACCATTTAATAATTCTGGGCGCATTTCCGCAGGCATTTTGTTTGAACGGTTTGAATGCTTCTCTCGCGCATCTTTTTTCACCAGGATATTGTCCGTAACGCTGGAGTGTGCTATTTGATGGATTCTAGACTTGTCCACAACATGTAAACTGCAGAAAGCTGTACGACAGACATCTACTTTCTTCGTCCCCAATTTTATGGAATACACATAGGAGTATTGCTTGCGTACCTTCTTCTCTGCGCCAGAATTCTGCTTAGGTTTTCTTCTTCGAATTACTTTGCTGTTATCAACGAGTTAAGATATGCATCTTGGATGTTTTTGTCTTGCATCCCCCAAAACAAAAGATCTATCACGCTCAGGCTCGGTCAGCCTGTCGTAACACGCACCCTTACATTCACATCTGGGACCCTGCTTCCTTGCTGCAACTTTCTTACCGATAGCAAGGCTAACGTATTCCATTCCACTGTTTCTTAAACACTTATCTTTATTGCGTCTCCAATTGTTACCATTACGGAGACGTTTTTTACCTATAAAAAAGTGTCTATCAGCACCCAAGGAAGAACATATCAGGTATATTATATTATAACCTGTTGATGAAGGCCCTGGATCAGAATGAGCATCTACATTCTCGTCCAATAAGTTTTTTACCTCTGAATCGCTCTGAATCAGGATCATTACTATCGTCAGACGTATGAAAAGGGTCCACAATATCCGAATCAGTCATTTTTCTTCACCCGGCAAACACAATGGAAATGCATAGGTTAGAAAAATATTGGTAGCAATAATCGTACATGTGAGAAACATGACCGACTCTTGATCTCAATAGAATTCTGTCTATTTATACCTTAGACCATATAGTACATGGACTGCTAATTGTAACGAAAATATAGTCAAGGACATCGCCTGGGTATGTGAGTTTCAGGGTAAACGAGTCTATCCGAAGTTGTCCGATTAGACACGATTTGAGACTGTCAACCTATAAATTAACAAACGTCAATTAATTAATCGCCTAGATATGCCAAAAAAAGCAAACTTATTGCGATTTGTGGACGTATAGAAGATAATCAGGAGGATTGAAAGCTTCCCGTACTACGCGGTTACTATAAAAGCTACTCTTTACGGGATCCGAGTGGTGTTTATACGACTTTAGTTTACCCTGAGATTCACATACCCACGACTACAGTGCCCTCTATCCGTGACCATCCATTTTGTATTGAAAGCATAAAAAAAAAAAAAGGTCAACGTGTTTCATTCCTCCGGCACCCCTGACTACAGGGATACCGGAGGCGGGCTGCTCAGGGCTTCCTGGCCCTCTTCAGCCAGAGAACGGGATTGTAAGGATGGGTAAAGTTAGGGATTGGAACGGAAGGAACGGAGTTAGGGTGCTGAGGGGGAGAGTACTGCTCCAGCATTTGCCTCGTAGATTTCAACATAATGCTAGCATTATGCGAAGCTACGTATGTCTGAGGAAAACCCCCTGACAAAACCCCAGACAGAGCAGTCGGCAGCGGGATTCGAACCCACAACCTTCCGAATGGCATCGGTGAGCGCATCCACTGCGCCACGTGCCTCGGTTGAAAGCATAGGGCTAATAGCAGTCCATGTACTATATGGTCTAAGATTTATACCCATAATGCGATATGGTAAGATGTTTACAGCAAGAACCAGCTACGTGACAAATATTTCATGATATGTGGACGGCTCTTGCACCACACGATGCGGTGTATTTTTTAGAATGAAAAACGAACAAAAACTAATTTTGGCCAAAATTGGCATTTGACTGGTTATTGCATCGAGCCCTTCAATTGAGCTATTGGTCATAGACAGGACGAAACGCCATGGAAACGCATAGCAAAAATCGTGAAAAAAAGTACCTCTGACGATATTTGCAGGGTCCTCTTTTGCCATAACATTTGTTATGACTTTGTCGTTCTTTGGATTATACCCTAAAGTGCTCAAAAAGAATGTTTTGCACACTTCGTGCTTTTCACCCCCACTTTTTAAAAAATACTTAAAAGTTCTTTTCCGAGTACTTTTTGCTAGACTAGACCACGTCGTCTCTTTACATCAGTCACGGTGACTTTTGACGAAACAAAAATCCTTCAATTCATGGACCAGTACTGCTTATTGATTGATGCGCGTTGATTCTCATTGAACATTTACATTATCTACGACACACAACGCACGCCGGTCGCAAATTGTGTTGCTACTGAACCTGCTCTTCTTTCCTTTTCTGTTTTGTTTTATCAGGTTTTTCTCTTTCTCATTTCTCCCTTTTTAGTATAACTTCGATCAGAATTTTCGCTATCAGACACAGAAGTAATTGTAGAAGGTGCATCGGTTGCAGCAGCTTTTGCAATGCTCCTATTGATAGAAATCGAACCTGTGGTTGTGCAATTGTCATCTGATTCCAATTCAACGTTTTCTTCAGACTCGGATAGCAAAAAGTCAGGATTTTTAAGGGAGTCATCAGAATCAGGTTGGTAACTCATTAAATTGGATGTAGTCTGCAAAGTTGAATCTTCACCTTCCGTGGTTTGCATTCTGACGACTGGTTGTAATATAGTGTATTCTTTACCTTCTGTTTCTTCACTGTCACACTCTACATCATTAGAACTTGGATGCATGCTTTAAAGAAGAAACAAAGAAAACAAGAAGAAAAAAAATCATTTCGTAAGCCGATTCCTCCCTCAATGAAGGTAAATGCTGCAAAACTCCGACTAGTTCCTAAAGATTCGTCTTCAGATAGCGAAGATCATTACTCGGTAAACGATTCAACTGATGGAGAAGATTTTAATGAAAATGAGTGTGTTGGGTGTATGGAGAGGTATGAGGAAACAAAATCTACAGTAGACCGGATTCAGTGTGTAACGTGCAATAGGTGGCTTCATGACAGCTGTACGACATATAAGGCCTACTGCATGACATGTGGTAAAAAAGTCTCTATGCAGAAGGTTAACGAGAAAACACCATAAGCCATCTCTCCCTGATACAGTGCGTCAACTCCCCATACGGGAGAGTTTGCCAAATGCAAACATTTTTTTAATTTTCGTTTTTGAGAAAAATACCTCATTTGAAATCTGTCGCAACCGGCGAACATAGACGAACTAAGACAGAGAATAATTCAAGAATGTCGAAATATTGCAAAACCAACATAGGAAAGGTTCGACAAGAGTTTGAGAATAGATTATAACTGGCGATCAAAAATGAGTTGCTGTCGAGTCGGCTTTGGAAGTTCAAGTTAAATACGATTTTCCATGTTTATTTTTTGATTTGCACGATAATTACTAACCTAAATGTAATGCTATTTGGTATGGTTGGAAAGCATTTTTTCAGAGCTTTCCAACGACGTATCACACATGGGGGGTCACTATTTAAGATTTAAAAGTTGGGGTGGCTGGGGCGCAGGGGGTTGGAGGGGGTGCGTCGCCAACTATGTCATTGTGATTCCCCCTTCGAATTACCGAAACGGATTTTGATTTTTTTAAATATCTCGTTTATTTACTAAGATATGGGGGGTGGTAAGTTTTCAAATTGTCACCCTGTATATATATATATATATATATATATATATATATATCTCAAATCAATATGACGGCCATACATGGAACAAGCATTCGACGGCCGGCAGAAGTAACTGTAACGTTTCCGTTTACATTTGAATTGAAATTCCCGCTAAATATGAAAATATAAACTCAAGGTAACCAACAATAAGAATTTGGACAAAGGTAACTAGTGGTTGAATGGTTGAATGAATCCGAGAATATTGTTGTAATCCTGTAAGAAATTCAAAATTAATTAAATTGATTGATACATTTACTACAAACATAAACTAAATTTTAGATCCATGCCATACATATGTGATATTTGAAATTATATGAAATTCCTTTTAATTATCAAATAAACCCAATTACATTTGGGTTTATTTATTACTTATTTATTAGATAGTTAAAATACCAATTTGGATCATCGTATAATCTACCCTTAATTTACCAAGTTTGACCAATACCTATTTACATCTGGAGCCGGAATCCACATCAGAATCTCATCCAACGCCGTCGTTTGGTAACCATCACCGAGTCCTAAAACAATAAAAAAAAAATAGAAATCAATTTGGATTAAGGTCAGAAAAACTGTTTATAAATTAAACTCACCTCATTAATCATCCAACACAAAACATATTGTGAAGTAATCACGACATACGTAATCTGTAAGAGATCTCCGGTAAAACCCTACAACACCCACTCAAACATTCACCTCTCTTTCATTTCTAGTAGTCCTTAAAAAAAGCAGTTATTATTTTAGCGAACATTAAAGAATCAAGTATTTGTGTCAATGGTTTATTTCATATAGTTCTAGGACTGGGTTTTATTAATCGTACCCTAATTTGTCCAACGCAACCCTGGCGCCCTAATAATCCTTATGCTCTCCGGTTTTGAGCCGAGCGAAGGGGTATCGGTCCAACATTGTATGAACCATTGCCATACAGTTTTCTTACCAGGTAGTTTGTTTCTTGATTGATTTATTTTGTTGTCCATTTAACTATTGACCGTATTTACGTTACCTCTTCATGAACCTATCGAATTGGTATTTTTGCCAATACGAAAAGGTTATAATAATGAAAAAAATGAAGGCAACAGCAAGTAATCAATCAGAAGAAAATCTTGGCTTGTCTAGTTTATACACAGAACTTAGAAGTAGAAGAACAACACGTGCGAAGGCTCCGAAAATAACAAAACCTACACAAGTTGAGACTGCATCGTTAATACAATTAACACCACCTGTGTCTATTGAAAGTACGTCTGCTGTACAGTTAGCAATAACTGAACAACCACTACCTCCGTCACCTAATCCATCGCAACCTGACGAAACAATGGGTTACACATGGGACAAAAGAGCGATTATCGCTAAAAGTCAACCTTGGTATAACATCGAAGAGTTAATGGCTTTACTTATTAACATTCGTAAAGCTAACTATAGCATCGTTGAACAAAGGCAACAAATGTTGACTGCTCTTAACGAGATGAGAACTGCAGCTCCTTTTGACAGAAACGTTCGATTTCCAGAAGGGGTAGTTTACATTTGTGAAACACACGGCGACTGGATAAGAAAGTTCCAGCAATTAAGGACTTCTTTAAGTTTTAAAGACTTTTCTGCTAAGGATAAAGGATCAACAAGCAAACCAGGTGAACCAGCTGACTTTAATGACAGTTTATTGGCTTGTCACAATGCAATTACCGGAATAATGACGCAACTAGGTCAAGAAGAATATCTTATTGACCGTGAAACATTTGAAAAGAAGTACAATTTAGTTTGGACAGTATAAGACTGATTAATTCAGTATTACTAGAATGTAGAATTTTTATTTATTTTTATATAACTAACATTTGAGTTATGTTAGTGTAAATATTTTGATTTTTCTAAATTTTTCAAAAAAAAAAAAAAAAAAAAATTAAAACCTTTTCGTATTGGCAAAAATACCAATTCGATAGGTTCATGAAGAGGTAACGTAAATACGGTCAATCGTTAAATGGACAACAAAATAAATCAATCAAGAAACAAACTACCTGGTAAGAAAACTGTATGGCAATGTTTCATACAATGTTGGACCGATACCCCTTCGCTCGGCTCAAAACCGGAGAGCATAAGGATTATTAGGGCGCCAGGGTTGCGTTGGACAAATTAGGGTACGATTAATAAAATCCAGTCCTAGAACTATATGAAATAAACCATTAACACAAATACTTGATTCTTTAATGTTCGCTAAAATAATAACTGCTTTTTTTAAGGACTACTAGAAATGAAAGAGAGGTGAATGTTTGAGTGGGTGTTGTAGGGTTTTACCGGAGATCTCTTACAGATTACGTATGTCGTGATTACTTCACAATATGTTTTGTGTTGGATGATTAATGAGGTGAGTTTAATTTATAAACAGTTTTTCTGACCTTAATCCAAATTGATTTCTATTTTTTTTATTGTTTTAGGACTCGGTGATGGTTACCAAACGACGGCGTTGGATGAGATTCTGATGTGGATTCCGGCTCCAGAGGTAAATAGGTATTGGTCAAACTTGGTAAATTAAGGGTAGATTATACGATGATCCAAATTGGTATTTTAACTATCTAATAAATAAGTAATAAATAAACCCAAATGTAATTGGGTTTATTTGATAATTAAAAGGAATTTCATATAATTTCAAATATCACATATGTATGGCATGGATCTAAAATTTAGTTTATGTTTGTAGTAAATGTATCAATCAATTTAATTAATTTTGAATTTCTTACAGGATTACAACAATATTCTCGGATTCATTCAACCATTCAACCACTAGTTACCTTTGTCCAAATTCTTATTGTTGGTTACCTTGAGTTTATATTTTCATATTTAGCGGGAATTTCAATTCAAATGTAAACGGAAACGTTACATAACATATCTAGATGTATATACGTCACGAATATTGTTAAATAATGAATGGAGGACTTCAAATTTTGATAAAAGCATACACATGATTTTTCCGTGAAAGTACATAGTACTATCAATATGACGGCATCCCTTATAACAGCAACGTGATGACCAGAAGCGTATATTTTATATATAACAAAGGTATCGAACGGCCATATATAACAGTACTCGCTAATACGACGGAATGGGTGGAAGTGAGATAGTCAGTTAATAAAGGGGGGTGGGAGTCAGTGAAGCGAGTAAGTGAGAGTGGGCGGATAACTAACAGTGACTGCGAGTGAAAGCAAAATCATCTTAACACATAGTAGAGCTAATCACTCTCGACCAGGTTCACCAGATGAATTTAGTAACGAGTGAGAGTAAGTAAATTAGGGGGGGGGGGGGGGGGGGGCGAATGAGCGGGAGTGAGTCAGTGACTGAATTATAGTAAGAGATTGAAAGCGAGTGGGTGAATTAGTGTGGGCGAATGAGCGATAGTGAGCCAGTGACTGAATTATAGTAAGCGAGTGAGAATGAGTGAATTAGTGATCGATAATGAGCGGGAGTGAATCAGTGACTAAATTATATTGAGCGAATGAGAGTGATTGAATTAGTGAGGCGAATGGGCGAGAGTGAGTCAGTGACTGAATTATAGTAAGCTAGTGAGAGTGAGTGAGTGAGAAAATTGAGCGTATGAGTGAGCGCGTGACAGTAGATCCGAGTGGGTTGGTGGAAGTGAATGAGTCAGTTAATAAATGAGGGTGAGAGTGTGTGCGCGTGTGTGTGTGTGAGCGAGTTAGAGTGTGTGAATAACTAACAGTGACTGCCAGTGAAAGCAAAATCATCTTAACACACGTTAGAGCTAACCACTGTTGAGCAGGGTCACCGAAATGAATTATAGTAAGCGAGTGAGGGTGAGTGAATTGGTGAGGGAGAATGAGCAATAGTGAGGCTGTGATTGAATTGTAGTGAGCGAGTGAGAATTATTGAATTATAGTGAGCAAGGTAGAATGAGGGAATTAGTGAGAGATAATGGGCGGGAGCGAGTCAGTTACTTAATTATATTGATCGAATGAGAGTGAGTGAATGAATAAGGCCGAATGAGCGAGAGTGAGTCAGTGACTGAATTATAGTAAGCGAGTGAGAGCGTGTGAATTAGTGAGGGCTAATGAGCGAGTCAGTGATTGAATCATAGTAAGAGAGGGAGAATGAGTGAATTAGTGAGGGATAATGAGCGATAGTGAGTCAGTGACTAAATTACATTGATCGAATGAGAGTGAATGAATCAGTGAAGCCGAATGAGCGAAAGTGAGTCAGTGACTGAATTATAGAACGACAGTGATAACGAGCGAGTGAATTGGTGAGGGGCGGACTAGCAAGTGTGAGGCAGTGACTGAATTATAGTAAGCGAGTGAGAGTGACTGAATTAGTGAGGGCGAATGAGCGAGAGTGAGTCAGTGACTAAATTATATTGATCGAATGAGAGTGAGTGAATTAGCGAGGCCGAATGAGCGAGAGTGACTCAGTGACTGAATTATAGTAAGCGAGTGAGAGTGAGTGAATTAGTGATAGCGAATGAGCAAGAGTGAGTCAGTGATTGAATTATAGTAAGAGAGTGAAAGAGAGCGAGTGAATTAGTGAGGGAAAATGAGCAAGAGTGATTCAGTGACTGAATTATAGTAAGTTAGTGAGAATGAATGAATTAGTAGGGATGGAGGAGAGTGAGTGGACACCTGGGTAGGAAAATGACAGTGCGTGCGAGTGACAGCGAAGTCATCTTATCCCATGATTGAACCAATCACTTTTTTGAGAGTGAGCGAGTGATGGTAGGTGATAGCCGAGTACGTGAGATACATTTATGATAAACACATAAAGATTTACATTTTCCTGAATATTTATTTTGAACATACACTTTAATCTTCAACCAATCTTTGTTATCGAGCAACTGCGTATGCGTATTTTTTAGTGTTTCGCATTCGCTCCTCTTAGGAGGCTTCTTATTTTGTATGTGCTTCGCAAAAAACGAGCACACAACCTTTTTTTGCTGATCTGTCCATGGCACTAAAGTTCTTTGTTGCTTTCCGTTTTTCTTTACAGTGTTTTCGGTTTCGATCCGTGCAATTTGGACCTCGTTCACATCATTCAATGGTTCTGGCACGTCCGCAATCAATTCTTGCTCATCGTTTGGATTCGCCTGGTTTTCTTTGTCTTCCTCAATTAGACACTGATCCATGTTAACATCTATTTGGTCCAAGGTTTTCCCTTTAAATTGACCGACGTCACCTTTTTCTAGCAGTAACAATATTTTTGCAATCTTCGATGTTTGGTAGACATCATCTGGCAGCCTATATGATTGGCGATGGATTCCAATGGTATGCCCCATGAATGTGGCGAGTTGTTCCAAATCTGACTCCGACATATTGAACACTTGTGATAATGTGGCCAAATGTTTCCTTAATTTAGTACATGTTATGCCTTCCGGATTTTTGCATGTTTTTGTAACACTTTGTATCCGCTAATTTCTTTAGCGGAGTTAACGTTGGAGAATAAATAAGGATTTTCGGTCTTACAAAAATTAGGGCGATACTTTATGATGTGTCCAATGTGCTCCTGTACATCCTTACTAAATAAAATAGGGACACCACGCCCCCTTTTACCTCTAATTACAATTCTTTTAAAGGTATTCATAAGAATTTTTTCAGTTGGAGTTACCGCCTCTTCAAACTCTTCATAACTGTGGCTGCTACCGGTGGCGAAAGTTTCGTATGTGTGAACCAGCAAACGTTGTAACTCCCCTGGTCTTCTCCTGTTCAATAACATAACTCGGCAATAGACACTCTCTATTAAAATTTGGAAGTCCTTGCGTGTTCCCGACGATTGAATGTTTAACATTGCTCGATTTCCAATTTTTATCAAATATTCTTTCAGTAATTTTAGGTCTTGAGCCAAGGGAATAATGGAAACCTTATTCCACTTATTTACGTTTAAATCGCTTCCGGCTTGATTAGAGATTTCAAATTTCCAATTCGCATTTATTAAGTGGATCAGTGTTTTCAGATCAGCTTCAATATCAGCAGTTGACACGCTTATATCGACGTTTTTTCTTTTTAGGTTTTCCATTATGGCGATGTCACAACATTGTTTAATGGAAGTTGCAATATTCAAAGCATATGTTGGGGACTTGAACGTTTCATGGTCCATGTCAAATCTTGCAACTGCCTTAGTTGCATCTATTAAAATATCAAAATTTTAGTCAGGTCTGTCAAATGAGGATGCATTTTTTTAATATGAAGTACAAGCCTCGCCAACTCCCGCATTTTGCGAGAAGTAACGTTCACAAAGTGCTCTTCTTTATGTATTTTTAAATATCTAGCTCCAAACGCGCAAATCAAAACATCTTTTTTTGCTATCAGTGAAATTTCATCTGGTCTCATTTTTGGAAAAACCCTATTTTTCAAATTTAAGTCAACCTTTAAATGGTTCAGCATAAAGGTTTGTGTTTCTAGACGGTTGATTGGGATTACGTTGCTTAGCGTGCCTCCATAATTGTTTTTTTGAGTATAAACCACAACAATGTGAGCACGGCAAGAGAGGTTGGTCAAGGGTACCTTTCCTAACTGGTTTTTGTAGTGTATTAGAATTTAAATAGTTTCCCTTTTTACGTATCATCGTAATTAATTGTTTTCTTGTGGTGCTTCTTGGAGGATATGACAAGATTTTTTGTACTTCAGTTTCTGTTGCATGGTTTCGGATAATATGCCTAGCAAAACACTGTACCAAGGTGTCGCAGAAAAAGCAAAAGTCCTTCTGCCTATTTCTTTTTCCATATAAAAGATCGTTACCGGTTTCCTCTACGGGCAAAACTGCGGTAATTGTTTGAGAAGAACTTATTTCAGGTGAAATGGTCCGATTTTCTTCGGCTTGGTTACAAATTGAGGTCTAAAATAAATCATAATTTATTGATTGGTCCAACTTTAAATGAATAACTTACAGATGTACAAGTAGTTTTAGCAGAGGGAATATGGTAAGATTGTTTGTCATGTAGATCTTCGAGTTCTAAATCCATTTCCACATCTGAATCCTCCGAACTCTGTTAAATTGTAAAGCTTATAGTTATCTCAGTTTATGAAATTTATGAACATGTTACCGTGTCGGAGCAACTATTAGGTACATAGTCGTCATCATCGTCTTTATCAGATGCGTCAAATTCGGGAATCTGTAATTAAAGTATATGCACTAGCATATCGTCTTAAATACTCAACAATACAAAATCATAATTAGTACATTTGATGTTAAAAAAAAGTGGTAAGGTACAGGGGTCGTGGGCGAGGTGTTAATCGCGACAAACAAGCAATGTATGGTGTAACAAGTTCACAAGGGAATGTATTATTTTATTCTTTCTTTAATGTAAAACTGCCCATTTCTATTCAGGTGTTCATCATCTATCAATTTAATGAGTTCACAAGGTAATGTATTATTTTATTATTTTTTTTTAAAAATGCCCATTTCTATTTCAGGTGTTCATCATCTATCAATTTAATGAGTTCACAAGGTAATGTATTATTTTATTATTTTTTAATTTAAAAATGCCCATTTCTATTTCAGGTAGTAGGTGCTATATGACGTAAAAGTCTAACCTTTTATGTGACAACTAACTTTGTTTAAGCTAAAACCCAAGAGAATCTGAATTTTAGAGCGAGGCGGTAATATTAAACCATGCATAGGCATTCTCTCTCTACATCTATGAATGTATTGTTCAGAATTTGAATTTGTTAGAATTAAACAATGTATCTATGTTAAAGGATTTGATAAACATAGACTACTCTCTGAAAGACTTAATCCTTTTCACCCATCTACTTCTATTTACATGTCTTTATAATTAGTATGTTATGCGCTATTTTCACCATTTACGTTAGGTAGGTAGATCCTAAAAATTAAAGCAGATATGCAAATGTCCAAAATTTAAAACGGCGCTTCTTTAATACACGTAAGTATAATTATATTGTAGCTTCTTAACAAACATCACATGTACTAATTCAAAACCAATCTTCCAGTACGTTATTGCAAAATTGCAATATGACTCCAGTAAATCTAGGAAATTTGACATGGGTAACCCAGGAATTTTGGGTGTGAAGTTTTGACCCAACCTACAGTACAATTTTGTCGGAAGTTACCACATTCGCTTTATCGGTACCCACTTCCGACGTCCCGTTACCCTTCAATTCGTGCGTGTGAAGTTTTGACCCCACCACCAATAAGTATTGTCGGAAGCCACCACATTCCCTTTGTCGGTACCCAGTTCCAACGTCCCATTATCCCGCAATTCGCATTTGAAGTTTTGACCCCACCAACGATAAGATCTTGTCGGAAGCTACCACATTCCCTTTGTCGGTACCCATTTCCGACGTCCCGTTATCCCGCAATTTGTGTTGGGAGCTTTGACCCCACCATCAGTAAGATCTTGTCGGAGACTACCACATTCCCATTGTCGGTAACCTCTTCTGACACTCCCAGAGCCATAGAAATGCGCTATTTTGGTGGATTTCGAAAAAAAACGCCTCGAAATAGTATTCTACAGTGTGTCCGTAAAGTATGGAATAAATTCGATATTTCCAAAACCAAAGGTCTTTACACAAAAACCTGAAACACGTCGATTTTTAATTTTAATCTACATTTTACAACAAAATTTCATCATACAGGGTGATCCATATTAATGTGATAACGTCATCGGTAATTTTTTTAAACGCAACACCCTGTATTTGGTGTCAGTTTTTGATAATTCGTAACGAGGTGATTCCGAAAAGGTATGATACTTGGGTCTAACGGGCAGAATTTGAAAGATGTGCGCTTAGAAAATAAGTTTTATTGATATCTAATAAAAGTAGAAATTAATTAATTATTTTATATTTTTTTCTAATGATTAATTTAACAATGGGAAAGTAATCCAGTAGTAAATACATGGCTTTATTTTAAATGTTGGAACTGTAGTCCTTGCTGTATTTGACAGTAACCTAAACGTTGAATAAATTCTTGTTGAACCTTGTTTATGGTTTCTTGAGAAATATCTTTCAAATTCTGTCCGTTAGACCCCAAGTATCATACCTTTTCGGAATCACCTCGTTACGAATTATCTAAAACTGACACCAAACACAGGGTGTTGTATTTAAAAAAATTACCGAAAGCGTCATCACATTAATATGGATCACCCTGTATGATGAAATTTTGTTGTAAAACGTAGAATATTAAAATTAAAAATCGACGTGTTTCAGGTTTTTGTGAAAAGACCTTTGGTTTTGGAAATATCGAATTTATTCCATACTTTACGGACACACTGTATTTTTGGGACAAAGTGAGATTAAAAGTTACCTTTTTACAAATAAATTTGCAAAAATGCGCCAAAATCTGATTCAAAATGGCGAAAAAATGGTGAACTTTGAGAGTGCGCACATTCAGGGTTAAGCTTCTCTTTTGTGACCCTTTCGATTGAGGGACAAAAGAAAAAATGTACCCAAAATTGCTGGGTTCCGAAGTAGATTTACTGGCCTATATGAATAGCACTAAATATTAAAAGTACCGTTTCATCAATATCGCCATCGAGATGATCTGGAATTGATTCGCGGCCTCCGTTTTCAATGTCTGAATTCGAAGAGTTTATTGTGCCATCTTGAACAGGTGCCACCTCAGCAGCTGCTGGAGAGAGCGGCCTGTTACAGAACCAACGCAGTGTTCTCTTTTCTGAACTTCTTGGTGGAAGTGCGTACTGTAATACGTAATATGCCATGTTACAATTTAAAATGTAAAAGCCATCTTAAAGATACTTATTTTTAAATTCTTGCAAAAATTGATATAAAGAAGTACAACATTCTATGAACAAAAATCATTACTGACTGCAAAAAATGTTTGTTAAATACGACCATTAAAAAGTATTGCAAATTAGTTCGAGCCAGCATAACCCAAACAACGCGGTATTGTTAACAAACACATTAAAAATACATAACGAAATGCTCAGGAAATGTAAAGCGTTTCATGTTCACTTGCAAGCACAAGAAAAGCACTTGTGAGAATGAAATAGCTCCACTTCTCAAATAAACCACGGCAAACAACCTTCCGCTACGTTGCCAAGCGGCGGCCGTCATGTAATCGGTGAAATGGGAACGAAAGTATACTTAATATACACAAATTGAACAGCGCCACTTATTTCGACCGCGCAACTACACTATACTATGCCTCACAAACGCGTCATTTGACGACCGACGTTTCTTTACCTCTTAGGCAACCTATCATGCTTCTCGACATTTTTAACAGAGATGCAGTTCGACGGCCATATATGGCCGTCACATGCATCCGGCCGTCCCAATGATGGTAAAATTTCTATGTATGGCCGTCAGATTGATATGTTGCTATATATATAGCAAAAGTCTAAACACATTTGTTCAGAGAAAAAAATACTGCATCTGGTCATACTATTACTCATAATTTTCCGTTTTTCAAAACCGTAGAAATCGACAAAATAAAAAGGTACATTTTACAATAACAATGCCTTGGAATTATCTAAAAAACAGCGACATTATTTGCCTTTGACGTACCTATATTAAATTTATTTCGAAATTTATACTTGTTTATAAATTAGTTAATCATTAAATTGTTTATTTAACTGAAGAGAAAGAGGAAATGTTAAAGTTGTTTTATACCCGCCAAGTAACGTCTTTATTTAGTGTGAAGTACCCAAATCGACGGATTCCAAGTAATACCACAGTAGTCAGAATTGTGCGCAAGTTTCAAAGAACAGGAACAGAACAGTGTTAAATCACTGCAAGTGCAATAACGTTAAAAATGTCCGTCAAAACCATCAGGATACGAAAATACATTCAACGTTTTGGCTGCGGTAGCGGAAAATCCGAATATGAGTTCAAGAACAATTCTTCCTCAAATCAATTTCTTTTTCTTCTATTATATACTCTAATTCCGGAATATGATAAACAAATAGTATCTGGTGCAGATGCAGCATTTCATTCTCTAAAAAAACATTACCCCATAAAAGCTTTTTCTTGCGTCGGTTAGTTGAAATAGAATTAAATATGAAAATCGTTCGACGTCAAAACAACCATAACTTAGATGCGATGCGCTTGTAGTTTGTTAAAAGATTCCAAGGCATCACTGATTTATAAAAATGTAATTTTTTATTTTGTGGAATTCTACGGTTTTGAAAAACTGAAAATTATAAGTAATCGTATGAACAGATTGGCTATAAAGAAATTACCATTGAAATCCCTATGCTGCGTCGCTATAGGCACAACCCGATATATATATATATATATATATATATATATTCGTATGGGAGAAGCAAGTTCTTGAATTCAGAACCAAATCAATAAAATATGTAAACTACTGCTTATCTCATCTATTATCCTTGCGTTTTGTCTCCAATATATTATATATATATATATATATATATATATATATATATATATATATAAAATTATCTCCTGCATACGCACTGAATTAGAATTAATGTCAGAAATGTTAAAACTGGATAATTTTATACTACTGAAAACCCGTCATTTGACAGATTATGTGCTCAATATTACTATTTTGATTGGTAAATATGATTATTTTGGTTGGTATGCTGTGTAATATCGTACAATTTTTTAATTATTAATAATTAAGAGTTGTAAAAATTGTGTTCTCTGGCCAATTCTTGCAAACTCTCAGAAACGGAAGGAGATTGACGAAAATATATGCGGACTTTTTTAAAGGGCATTAAATTTTCTATAAAAAAGTCCGCGGGAGCATATGCCGACGACGTTCCGTCTGGAAACGACAACCGTTCGAAATCACCTCTCTCGCGCAATTGCATTGCCTACTCCATTCATAAAGATACGCGATAATGAACCCGTAACACCAGAGGAATTTGCTGATGTTTTGCTAAAAATATACTTACATTCTTTAGTACTATGAATTTTACATTGCGGATTTACACCATTACGGGGGCTGAAATAGTGATAACGTTGAGAATGTAAAATGCTGCACATGCGTTTTTAAGTGCTTATAGGTACTTCATTTTCAAAGAAGTTTGCATCTACATTATAACCGCAGTTTGAAATACTTTCTTTATACATTTTCCAACGGGTCCTGGTTCAATCTTGCTGTCAACACATAAGGAAGATCTTCTGTTTTAATGTGATGATGAAGCATTTGAATCGCTTTAATTGTTTGAAGCATTCCGCTGAAGCTGGGTGGTGTGGTGGGCGCATTTTGAGTTGGCTTTGGATGAAGATTTTTGTAAACTGGACAGTATTTCGAATCCATTTTGTAGAACCTGTACCACTGCAGTATTTTTATCGCATAATGGACGTTGCCAAGGCTTCTTGCGGTGTACAAATTTGGAATTCAAGGCATCAAACAATCGATCTATGATTTCTATCAAATCCGCAGTGTACTTTGCCTCCTCTGGCAGTTGTTTACACTCGATTGCAGTGTGTAGTGCAGCCGCGACACTATGACTAGATTTCTTGCAATTAAGATACGAACATAAATTTCCAGACATTTCTCTTATAACAAGTACACTTTGGCAATGAAGGACAAATACAAGAAACGTAATCAAATTACTAAGCCAATGAAATACTAATTAATCCATGCGGTAGAGAATAAAACGGTAGACATTTACGTTAATCGCTATTAAGTAAACGGGCATATATATATATATATATATATATATATATATATATATATATATATATATATAATTAGTACAATAACGGGGGTTCCAGAACAGACGTTTCCAGGAAAAAATTTCCGAAGGAGTAGAGTGTTATTTGGTAAAACAAGGAAAGATGGGGGAAATAAAATAGTGTAAATTATTTTAGATGTAGACTTTTTTCACTATTCACTATTTTTGCATTTGCACGAAAAGTAGCCGTTTTGGCGCGGCCGCTGGCGGCGGTCTGGTTGGCCCTACAGATTTGGTTGTTACATGTTAAATGTATAAAATTTTGTGGACTACAATTTTGTATAGAATAGTTTTTCTTTTAAAACGTACCGTTTATGAGTTATAGGCGAAAATGTAAAAATGCCGCAAATAATTTGCGGTTATTTGCGGCTGCCGCAGTTAGCTCACCTCTGGCGTGTTAGCAAAGTGAAAATTCTGATTCAGCGGTTCAAAATACATATAAAACCGTTGAGAAAAAAACTTCGGGAATTTTTTCTTGAGAAAATCCTCATATGATTGAGCTAAATCTAACTAATAATGTCCATAAATTGACGCACAAATTCGCACCTGTAAAAAAGTTCAGTCTATTGTATTTGGTCTATCTGTGGTTGTAACCAAAAATAACAACCCACTTCCATAACCTGCAGGGTATAAATTATATATATATATATATATATATATATATATATATATATATAACTACAAAACTATAACAAAATCTTGACAACCTGCAATATTCATAATGACTTAAAATTGCATGCTTTAAGCTTTAATAAAAGTTTATTCTTTTCTCTTGTATCTTTTTGCATCACTACGTTCATATACCATAAATGTGAATCGGGCGGTTACCTATATATAGATGAAGAAAAATGAGTTTACTCAAAATATGCTGTGGTAATGGTAACAAAAATTAAGTACGTATATTCTAGACCAAATATATTGCCCACAATAAGTACTATGTGATCAAAAATGAGTTGCTGTAGAGTTACCTTTGGAGTTTTTGTTTAGATGGGAAATCGTACTTAACTTCAACTTCCAAAGGCAACTACAGCAACTCATTTTTCATCGCCCGTTACCTCAACACCTAATGTTACTTTTGATCAATTGCAAAAAATTCGAACTACACTAATGTGTAGATCATTCCATCGATTCTTGCTCATTCAGCTCCTCGACTGGGCATACTGAAAATGAGTGAATCGATATTAGCCTGTGCCAACATAGGCAACACATCATACACGTAAAGGCAAAGCGTGAACCAGTTTACCAAGATCTTACATATAACCAGTCGAAATAACTAGAATCATTGCATAAAAATTTTATTCAATGGTAAAATGAAATGTGCTTATCGACATAAAAATGTTTTTATTATACCTGAATCACAATCTCCGTTTTAAACACTCAAATGCGTGCGAAAAAGGGCCTTTAAAACACACGTGCTTTAAAGTTGATAAGTAACGATACTTCAAGTATGACTTTTGAAACTGTCATCTGGATGAAATAAAAAATCCTCTTAGGTCGCTTTCTGTAAATGCAGAACATTTCTTTGACTTTTGTACCTATCCTTTGGTTGAAGCTTTCACAAACGCGCGTAATTTAGGGTATGCTTCCAAATCTGTTCCACTTTTTAATCGCAGCATTGCTTTAAAGTTTTGAATGAATGCACCAAAATATAGATTTAAATACCTTTGACATTTCCTTCATATATGACAGCATTATGGATGCATTAAGACTGTATTCGTAAGTAACTTCCTATTCATCCATGGAAACAACTTTTCATATTCTTTATAATAGGCTTTACTGGAGTTGGATTTTACACCTATCAACGTTTGTTTAGATTTTACAACAATCGATTTAATGGACGGTGTATTATCTTTTCCAACGGAAATCGTTTAATTCACAAAGACGGATTTTTATAAGCAAACGTCAAGTGACATTTCCATGGCAATCGTGAAATTACGAACACCCAGCCCACTTAATTAGACATGTATTCGAGTATAACGTCAATATGGCTTCATTGTATTTCCTATTTTTAGATTATACTGCAGGTATAATAAAAAATACTATAAGATACACGTGTATAATTAGTCTTTAAAGCACTTGCAAAGTTAAAGGCACTCCGCTTTGCGTCGTGCCCTTAAACTCGTTGCGCGTGCTTTAAAGACTTGATTATACACTTGTATCTTAATATACTATTATTGGCTTTTAAACAATACTCATTTGTTGTATAAATGTCTAATTCTCACATCTACTTCGTTTATTTTCTTATTTTCGTAATGAATACGTATTGTAAAGAATACCTTCAGTATTAAGTTCATTCACTGCAGTCTGCAGGACATGATTATGATATATATGATGATGATATGATCTTGAAGTGCCAAAAACAAATTACATCCGTGGTGATTACTCAGATTTCTGGGCGACGTACAACAAAGACGCCGAATAAACAAATTCATATCTCTGTTACACTATCGCAAAGATTATTTCTCAAAATATTCTTGTGCTTTTCTGCTTTTTCCATTCCATTCTACATAACTATACCTAGATGTAACTATCCGGTAAAAATAGTATATTATATACTGCGGGACTGAAGTAGTACTTTTAATCCCGAAGGTAAAGTTTATGGCCCGACCGAAGGGAGGGCCATAATTTACCTGAGGGATTAAGACCACTACTTCAGTCGCAAGGTATATACGATATTTTTCGTACTTCCGAAACTGAAACACTTAATATGTATGGAGTTAGAGAACGCGTTCTTTCAAAAAATCGCTGATTAACCAGTTACCATAGGAACGTTGCGTTGGTACGACAAACCCTATGCTATGGTAACAAAAATAATTTGGAAACTGTCATTGCTAGTGTCATAATTTTGGTGGTGGGTGACAAAGGTGTATTTGATATTGATAAAAAGCAGTCAGACTAGGTAATGAATTGATACCATCGAAATCCAAAAAACTATATGAGCAGCAGTTCGATGCGTTTAAGAAGTAGTGCCGCATACAAAATGTGAAACCTACTGAAATTGCCTTGTTAGTAATTTCATCCTTCCGGGATTTTCGTCCAAATTTAATCCCGGCGGGACGAAAAGTGACACTTCAGTACTTGTTATAATGGAGTGAAGTTGTCACTTTAGTCTCGGAAGTACGAAAAATACTGTAACGTGATTTATAAATTCGGGTTCGATTTATATCAATATTTATTAAACAAAACTAAAACACTATAAAAACCGTACAATTTATATCGATTATTTATATCACACACACTTCGCAATTTATATTTCCGCGCTCGATCTCGTTCCGTAGTAAAACTGCCGCGATGTTCGGTCCGCAACCATTTATACACGCAAGCAATGTAAGTCCAGAACATCCGCGTACATTCTCGAATATTCCTACAAAATCCCACTATCGCGCGCGTAGAAAATTCCAGAGCGCCAAAGGCGACGTCATGTCTGGAGCGTTTCCGTTACAATACCTTATACGAAAATTTACACTAGATTACATTTATTTCATTACTAGCTGTACCCTGCCACGCTTCGCTGTGGGCACATTGTGGTTGCATATATGAGAAATAAGGAACAAAACAAAGCATATCTGTTTTATATAAGTTTAATTTTTCAATACTTGTGGATATACAATATTTTTTGTTTTTCCATTGTCTGCGTAGATATAGAGGCTATCTGGTTTGCCAACACGGGAACACGCAACATACAGTTGTCCATGTGAGAAGCAATCGGCATCTAAATCTAAACCACACAATTCCAAAGATTGCCCTTGAGCTTTATTTATTGTGATTGCAAACGCCAATCGTATTGGAAATTGCAGTCTTTTAAATTGAAATGGTGTATCGGTCGGGATCATTGGAATTCGAGGAATGAGGACATCTTCACCTTTAAAAGGCCCCGTTAAAATCGTTGCTTCCACTACGTTGTTCATTAATTTCTTAACTGCGAGTCGCGTACCGTTGCATAGTTTTGGCTGATTAATATTCCGCAGCATGATGATGGGCACACCTATTTTCAATTTTAATATGTGTGGTGGCATCCCTGGCAGATCAAGTGAGTTCAAAAATTCCGTTGGATAATTAACTGCTTCATCTGCCTCCACAACAGCGTCTATTGACTTATATGTAATTTCCTCACTTTCAATGCTGAATTGAATAACATTATTAAGTTGATAAACATCTTTATTCTTCGCAGCAAGGATAGCTCGTTCTCTGAGCCAATCATGATTCCTATAATTCATTTGAATATTAGGAAATACTTTTTCGACCAATTCTTCTTTAGATGTTACTAAATTACAAAAATTATCAGGCAATGATATTCGTCTTGACGTTTCATCGACCGGCAGCTTTCCGTTTCCAATATCTAGTAACTGTCGTGAGAATACCTTGGCTGATTGATCGTTCTGCAACTGGATACGCATATTCGTAGTCAACTGCAATGTACGTACGTGTTGCCACAAACTTGAATATTTCAGGCAAGCATTTATTTCGTCTGCTGGTGTTGATCGTGAAATTACAGGCAATGTTTGCCTAAAATCTCCTGCGAGCAATATCACTGCATTCCCAAATGGTTGAACATTTCCACGCAAATCTCGCAACGATCGATCAAAAGCCTCAAGCGATTTTTTATGTGCCATCGTGCATTCATCCCAAACAATGAGTTTACATGTTTGTAATATTTTCCCCATACCTGATGCTCTGGAAATATTGCACGTAGGTGTCTCGATGTTTTGTATGTTTAATGGCAACTTTAAAGCTGAATGAGCAGTCCTTCCACCTGGTAACAATGTCACAGCTATTCCAGACGAAGCGAGAGCTAAGGCTATGCCAGTTTTTGATCGAACCGTTGCCAGAATCAATTTAATAAGGAATGTTTTTCCAGTTCCTCCTGGCGCATCTAAGAAGAAGATTCCCCCAACTCCGTCATTTATGATATGCATGATGCGATCATAAATGTCCTTCTGTTCACGCGTTAATTTGGGAATGGTTGATTGAATATATGACTGGAGATCACCGGTGTCGTAACTGTGTTCACGGCGAAAATCCACATCAAATGGAACAGTGGCAATTCGGATGGGTGATGGCATTCCCAATTGACTAAGAACTTTATTGCCAATAGCTAAGCACTTGTCTTCAATATTTATCAATGTTTCATTGTAAATATCTTCTGTAAATTCCATGGTCATATTGGCATTTTCTAAGCGTACTCTATGCAATATATCTTCAGCCATATGCGATCGATATCTTTCCCATAACTCTGTGGGAGATGAAGGGAAGCAAGCCGTCAATATGATTGCGAACAATGTGCGAATTTGGTTTGGATGTGCACTGTTGCAGGCATCATTAATGCATATATCCCACTGCTGGTCGTTCTCCAATAAATTCAGAGCATGGCACGCACTGCGGAAAGTGGCATGTGTGACGCCGTCAACAATTTTCAATTGCTGGAAAGACCTAGGACCAGGCACATTCACCAACAGCATGCGGAGGAAGAAACATTCTAGATTAGGATGTA